AGTTGCATTACTTGGAATAGCTTAAATATATTACAACTGTCCTAGATCCTTGGGAAGAATCCAGTAGTCAAAAGTACCAAACCCAGTCAGAACTATCTGGTAGACCTCAACTAAACAACAACAAAAACAATAATAATGATGATGTTGCTAATTTGTATATCTAATACCAACGCTCAAGTAGTAATTTGTTTTTTAAAAAGTATTAACTGCATCCCCAAAATTAAGCCCCCCTGCCCACTCTGTCTTCCTGGCTTTCTCTCCACCATCATAAAGACTAGAAACTTAAGTGTTAAATACATAGCAGTGCATCCCTCAATTTACACCCATGTTCCTCGTCTCTTCTTTCCACAGGAATGACAAGCTGAAGATCCACATGCGCAAACACACTGGTGAGCGTCCCTATTCCTGCCCCCACTGCTCAGCGCGCTTCCTGCACAGCTACGATCTGAAAAACCACCTCCACTTGCACACGGGCGCCCGTCCCTACGAGTGCTGCCTTTGCCACAAGGCCTTTGCCAAGGATGACCACCTCCAGCGCCACCTGAAAGGTCAGAACTGTCTGGAAGTGCGGACCAGGCGCCGACGGCGGGGTCCAGATCAGGAGCCCGAGTCCCTGGCACCCGCCGGGATACCCGTGTCCTCCGCTCACCTTGGCTTGGCCAATGGGCGGATGGAGGAGCTGCGCCACTACTGGGCTCCTGGGGGGGCCACAATGTCCCCTGCCCCCAAAGAGGAAGACGAGGAGGAAGAAGAGGGGGCCGAAGAGGGGGTGCAGAAGGATGGCCCCACAGCAGCAGCTGAAATGGCGTAGGCTTCCTTGGACAGCTACCATGTCAGGACTCGCCGATGCACTATTTTTTTTATCCTCTCCGCTGTGCCGTCACAGGGGAGATGATAGAATGTTCCCCGGCCAATGGCACGGAGACAAGATGCACTAGGACCCGCCTTCCCCACTCTCTGATTCCGTGCCTTAAGCAGACTATAAAGCCAAGGGGTGGGGGTCAAGTGGATGGGAGGGGTGGATGGGGGGGCACACCAAAGACAGATTGGTGTATGTTTGCTCAGGGTGTCAAAAATAAGCAGATAAGGGTGAAGCTGTTTGGAGGAGGGGGTGCAGTTGATTTTGCTTCCCCACAGACAAAAGGGATATGGCAGGGGGAGGCAGCACTCAGGGGAGCCTATATTTGGGGGCATTGGCCCAGGTTAGGGAGGGATAGAGTGAGAACTGGGGCAGCCTCTTCTTTCCCTTCTCTGTTATCGTAAGGATGTGGTTTTGACCCGTTTTAGGATCGGGGAGGGAGAAGAGCAGCAAACCTGGCTCCTCTTCCTGTTGAGAGTGCAGAAATTTAATTCTAACACAAATTATACCAAATTTTCTTGCCCAGACACCTGGCATCCATTTGGACTGCATGTCAGGGCTCGGTTCCTGCATTTGGGTTTTTTTTTTTCAACTTAGGAAGGCAGAGAAGAAGAGAACAGCTTTTTCTAACCAGGTCATCTAGAACGGGCTCTCCGCAGAGCGGGTGGCCTGACCTTGCCTCCTACTCTCAGTCCCATCATCCACAGACTTGCTGCATAGGGGAGATGGGGGTAACCTAGTCTCCCCGCAGGCATCCACATTAGGCCCATGCAAAGCATGCAGAATCCAGTCAGCATGTGGACTCAACACAGAGGCTTGGGTCAATATATCCCACTGGGACATTCCCTACGGATCCAGGACAGCCGATTTGGAGAAGCCTCCGATCGGGTGATTTGGAAAACGGACTCGTTTTCAAAATTTGGGCACTGCTGTGAGCCACACTGCTGTTTTTTGGAATTTCATCACCCAACCGAGCTATGCTGCCCCTTGGCCGCCCCCTGGTGGCCATCTTGCACAGTGCAGCAGGCTGGTCCCTGCATGCTCGGATTCTTTATAGCTTCGTCCGCCCATGCCGAGAAAGGGTGGGGGCTGCGACGTGCTGCAGGAAAACCTGCCCCCCCTTTCCTACTGTGCTTTTTGGCTCACTGTCCCCCGCCCCCCGCAGCTTGTTGCAAAATGGTAATCTTTAGCACATAAAGTGGGGGGAAGGATTCTCCCTTGCAATCCTATCCCCTACACTGCTGAAACCTCACCCCCCACCCCCACCAAAGGTACACCAAGGAAGTTTGCACAAAACAAACACATGAAAGAAAAAAAAAAAGGAATGAACCCCCTTTTGAGTCTTTTTCGCCCTTTTCCTTGAATTCCCGTCTCGATTGCACTAAGGTACGCCTTCACGGTGGGAGGGATAGAAAGGAGGCGTATCAATTTCCCACTCTGTTTTTGCACATGTTTTGCATTCTCCTGGACTGAGGTAGCTAAAGTTTGGGGCGGGGGGTAAATGGCCAGAAAACTGCAGGAAGAGCTGATCCTCCAGAAGTATTTGCCGAGAGCTTATCTATATTTAAGAGAGATAATATATTTATCCCCGTTTCCCCTCTCCTTCCACCCACTCAATCTCCCCACCAGCAAATGGCTGGATCTTCCTTAGCTTTAAAAGTGCCTTTGTGTTTAAACTTGAATTAGCTACTTGAAACAAAGAAAGAAAGAAAAAAGCTGGTTCCTGTTTATTTTCTGTGCTGTTTCCTGTCTTAGTTTCCTCACTTCCCCCATCATTCCCCTTGTGGTCCCTCCTAGGAGGTTAGGTTATCGTTCAGTGACCTTTCGGTCTTTTGAGTAACCACAGGGCTAGCCTCTCTCTCACAATGTCCTACCTGGCAGGGGGAGCGCTAAGGAAAAAAAAGCATATTTTCTTGGACTATTTGGGAAAAGGGGATGGCTCCTGCTTTGGTTTTATTTTTTTAAACTATTGTTAATAATAAGTGTGCTGGAATTCAAGGTGACTTGTCTGTTCCGACGGCTTGATAATAAAATGGAGAGCAGGGAACCGTTGGTTTACCCGGGCGTGTGTTGGTGTATCTTTTGCTCACTTTTCTCGTGGCCATGTGTACACACTCCAGACCACAGCCTTTAAGGAAGTTGCTTATTTAAAAAAAAAAAAAAACGCATGGTAAATGTACAGCTGTGTTTGGGGCAACCTTCCTTGCGCTGCTAGCTTTCCACTGTAAATCCTACTCCGGTGGGGCCTTGTAAAATGCCTTTCTGACTTTGGATGTCCCTGATGGGGTGAGGGAGCCATCACAAAAACCACCTGGTCTGATCTCCAAAAGTAAAACGAGTCAGGGCGGTAAGTACTGAGGATGGGAGACCACTAGGAAATCTTTGTGCTGGGAGATGGATCAGAAAACTGGAAAAACATCACTGGAAGAAAGGCAATGACCACAATTTCTGTATTGTTGCCAAAAACCCAATCCGGAAAGATCCACAGAATCATCAGGAGCTTAAAGAATAATGCTATATTTTGTCCTGTTGAATCATTTTGTTTATCAGTCTACGGGAAACATCATTTCTTTCGGATTCTCTTTGCATCTTTCTTCGAGTGAGGTTTTCGGTCGGTTTTCACTTCCTCCAATTCCTCCCCGCTGCTTGTCTCAGCCTCCTTCTGATAGCTGAAGTCAAGATGGCTGGAAAGGAAAAAAGGAAGCATTTTTTAATTTCATTTTATTATTTCTTTACTTCTATTGCTGTGAGGTCGCACCTTCGGCCAGAAAGTCCCTGACACGTAAAGAGTTGAAAAGGTAGCCAGATATTTTGGGCCTTTCTTTGCTCAAAAGGGGTGAGGGGGAAAAATAATAATAATAATAAAAATAAACAAACAA